ATGGAAATATTCCTGACTGGCAAGAATGCACTGTCCTGAGGTTGGTTCTCAGTATGGAAGAGGAAGGGTTTCAGAAAGGTAAAGGAAAAGTAAAAAAGAAAAGATTTCAGGTGTCCTTAATCACTTAGAAATACCACCTATATCATTTAGTTATGAGCTACATAGTGACATATTTTTATTTTTGTAGTTGATATTTCTTAAAAGAGTATCATCCAAAAGCATTCAAAAATTGAACAAGAAGTGACTTTTATATATCTTTAAAAATCCCAAATAATAATATAACCCATTGGCTTGGGAGATGACTCAGATGGCACCTGGAACCAATTCCCAGAATCCATGCAAAGAAGCCCAGCAGGGCAGTGCACATCTGTAATCCCAGTGGTGGGTAGCAGAGACAGGTGGATCTCTGTTCTGGTCTAGCTACTCAGCCTATTCTGTAATCTGGCCAGTGACAGACGCTGCCTTAAAACAGTAGTGAAGTAAGGAATAGAACCTAAGGTTGTCCTTTGGCCTCTACACACACGTTTATAATTGCATATAATAATTTAAACTATTACTGAATGTAAACAGTAATGTCTAATGTATTTGTCTTTATATGAATAGTCATTGGGGGAAAAGAGATGTTTCCATATTTTTGTGTGGAAGTTTTAGAATCTTTTAAAATAGACACACTTACTATTTCTTTCCTAGTGTTATCATTTACCTCTTTTTCCAAAGTGCATATGAGTGCCTGTGTACACACACACACACACACACACACACACACACACAAACACACACAAACACACAGACATACACACAAACACAAACACACAGATACACACACATAGACATACACACACACACAAAACACACAAGACACAAACACAGAGAATCACAGAAACACACACAGACACCCACAGACACATACACAGAAACACACACATACACACACACACACACACACACACACACACACACACACACACACACACACCTCTGTTTTCTTCATCCTTTAATGACACCAAATTTTGCAGCACCTATACTTAGGTGGTCCAGACAGCAGCAATCTAAAGACAGACTCCACCAAGCTCCTATCTGTTAGAACTGCAGTGCTTGCATTTGGATTCGATACCTAACAATAATGTGGTATTTTATAAACATTACTGAGGGTGATTTTGCACTGGTCAGCAAAGGCAAAAAAATGGGTGCTTTGGGAAAACAAATAAAAAGGAATTGGATCTGTCTCAATAAATAGCACAAATTGTAAATATCCCAAAGATGTAGCCACTTTCTTTGGCATTGGGAAACAAAAGTGACAATTACACTTTAGAATGAATAGGTGAACAACACAGTGGCTAAAACTTTTCGTTATGGTCATTCTTATAAAAAGTGTGACACTCACTGTATTTATTAAGCAAGTTTTTGCTTTATCTGCAGATATTTTTTAATCATGGCAATTAATATGTACATTCTAGTCATGATTCTTTTCCATTTAGGCTGGAGCCTGCGGATATACGTGTTCCATCAATTTAAGTGTAATTATAGAATAATCTTTCCCAAATATTATAGTTAATAACACCATGATGTCTATAAATTCCTTGTGATTTATACACATTAAAATTTCAGTGAGATTAAAGAACTTTGACTATTTGAGCACATTTATAAGGCATCTTCTGGTGTACCCAGTGCAGTTCACACAGGCGCCTCAGATGAGCAGTATTTTGGCTGGGGAGAGTCGAAACAAGCCAAATATTTCTGACTATGGCAAGGCAAAACTTAGTTTGATTATGCAACACATACTCTTCTTTGGTTTTAGAGATCAGAACCTGACATTTCACTCAGGCTTAGTTCTGAACAGTTTTGTCTAAAGGGAAAACTGACAGAGCTTTTAAGTTTTAAAAGGACACGCTGTGGCACAGATGTCTCTGTACAGAAGTGTGCCATTGCACACTTAATGATTCAGGGCACTGTTGTGACGTGAGTTTCAGTTACACAGAGACTGTCGGTCCTCTTCATTGATGAGAAGGACCTAAAACATGTTGTTTACATCCTTACACAGGGCTCGTGTAATATCCTACAACTTTATTTCAGATGTGTTGCAACACACCTGAATTTGCAGAGAAAACTTACTGTATTTTTAAAGGACTGTCTCTTATTTTTGAATATTTTCCAATATGTATTCTACATCGACTTTTTAGGGTTTTGTGTCAGCATTTTTCACAAAATATACAGTGTCTCATAAGCAAAAAAAAAAAAAAAAAAAAAAAAAAAAAAAAAGGAAGACAAAGGAAACTTCAGTCCCCCTGATGTTTACTAGGGAATTAATACTTACTGGCATTGGCATAATGTGTTCCCTTACAACTTAAAAGTAATGTATAGAACATAAAAAAAATCAACAAACATTGTACAGAAATGTTGATGGTTAGTATTAATCAGATTAAAATTTTATCTGATATGTTAGTTTTAAAAACAGGAAATGTACATATAATTTTATTCAATGTGTAGGGAAAATGTTTTTCAAGATTCACATATCTGGTTTTATAATTAAAATAAAAATACCTACATCTAAAAATTCACCAATGTCTTTTAGAAATCAGTATTTCTACAAATCAACATATATCCCTAAAAAAGTTTCAATGTTGTCCTGCAGCATGGTTACTGTACTTCAAGTTCATATGCTATATGTTTGCATACATTTGTAATTATTTTCTCTTCTAATCTTACTATTGAACCACATATTTTCTAGGATACATTAATTTTCATGAAAAAAATGCTTCTGGTTTTAATAAATTCACTTGTTTTGGCCTTTTCTTGGCCTCATCATGATGGGTAAGATTTCTATGCTGTTAACAGAAATTCATACTCATCTTCCTTATGTTTTTTCTGAATTCTCTTTTATTTCCCATTATAACTACACCTTCTGGTTACTTCCAGCTGTGAATAAACATAGACATAGATAAACACCACTGCTGCATGACCTTTGCCCAGATGTGATAGTAGGCAGATGACACCACATTGAGTAAATGAAGAAACTGCTGCTTGGATCAGCAATCACTTAGGGGGAAAGATCATTTCTCCTTCCTTGTTATTTAGCCAGGCATTTACTGTGGGGATTCTGAAAGACCTAGTATTAGAGCGTCTGTCAGGAAGTGGATGGTCACACACACATATCTAGAAAGCAAACAGTTTGAAGTCAAAGGGCAGAACTCATTGCATTTATCCCATGCATGTTGTTAATTTAAGGTGTGTTTTTCATTTCAAAAGGTCAGGAAATATCAGTTTGATAGCTCATTCTTGTTATACCTAATATTTTCTTTACTCTACATGCAAACACATCTAAGAGCCCAATAGGGGCAAAGGAAATCATGTAAATGGCCTGATCTTTGTTTAGTGTGAAAGTTAAACTTAGCAGCTCTGCTCACCCAGCTTCACAGGGAAATTATACTACACAGAAGTTCAACATTGCTCAGAGGCTCCTGAATCCTCACTACTGGTGACGAGAAGTGATGAAAAAGATAGTTGAGAGTAGAGGTTCACATAGCTGCAGTAACACCAGCCTCTGAGATTTCCCTGGCCTCAGTAATGTGCTGCAGTCGGCTCATCCTGACTAGAAAAACTGGATTGTGAATATGGTTTTCTGCCTCTGAATTCAGTGACAATTTGTCAAGGTGACATCAATATGGTGGGAATATTTACACCTCAAATATTGGCAGACATTTCAAATCAAATTTGTCTTTTGTTTTGTTCTGTTTTTCTTTTTGTTACTTTATTTTCTTGAGGACCCTGTTGCTAATCATTTTCCAGAAATGATTAGTAACCATTATCAATAACCTTAATGAATATTTTAACTCACAATAAACATATGTATGATTGATGATTCAGAGTGAATACAAACAGAAGATGCCTATATATCATACCACATTGCTTATGGTTTTCTCCCTTTGCACAATTAAGATGACTTCATTCTTATTTATTTTTCATGTCACTTTTCTTATATACTAATATATATTGTTAAATATTCATGTTACCTCACATAAAATCCAAATAATTTTAGTTTCACAGTTTACTAACAATCTATTGTAGGACTACAAAAAAGTATTTTTTTTTTTTATCCAGGTCTCTGGATGAAAACATAGTTTCTAGCTTTTCCATTTTACAAGGAACACATCATGACTTTTCCATATTATACCTTGGGTAAATCCTCATTCTACATATATGTGAAAATGCTGAGTCAATTAACCATATTTTCATATTTGATAAATATTGTTAAGTTTCCACTCTTTTCAGGAAGCTATTTCTAATGTAAGATAAAAAATAAAGTCATATTTAAATCTCAACAAATAATAATCAAGCTGCCACATTCGTATAATCTCTTTGTTAAGAAGGTTCTAGAAATTCCACAATCAAAGAAGGTGGTTGTTCTGTAAGTTCAAGCAACTTACATTCTATTAGAACCAAAACAAAACCAGCTGAGTGTTTGACATTCTCTCCTCATACTCATCAGGTCATTTTTTAACACCCTCCAATTGGTTTCTCAATTTGTTGTTCTAAAACAGCTGTACCCAGGTATGATCTAATCTTACACTCTTCCCCAAAATGCACACATATCAATTTATGTCAGGCCTAGATATTAGCAATAATTAAGAACACTATAATGAAACTTACGTGAATGTTCTCTCTTGATATATTTTTTTCCAGGAAAAGGGCATTTTATTTTTTTTAAAAGATAAATCATACAGTCAGTGATTGCAAAGCCATTTCCCAGCACTCTTACTATCTATCCACTTAAGAAAATTGCAATACACCGTGGTGAGAATAATGCCCAAACGAGAGCACCGGACATTGACTAGGGTGCAAATAAAACTTGATAGTAGTACTTTATTGAATTCGAAGCAAGCTTCAGCATGTTTGCCTTTGTTGCACACATCTGGAACAGGGACCCAAGGAAGGTTAAGAGAACAGGGTTATCCTTGTGTGGGGAGATGAGTGATCCATTGTCCTTTCTCACTGAGGGGAGGTTAGCCCATGTTGTGTCGGTTGCCATAGCCCCTAGGGTGGGTGTCCTTCCAGTCATCCCATTGCTGCAGCCTGTGGAGGGCTTCCTCATCCTCCTCCTCTTCCTTTTCCTCCAGCTCCGACTCGTCTTGCAGAGATGAACTGTGGGACTCGGGTGGTGGTGGCGGCGGTGGTGGTGGTGGTGGTGGTGGTAGCTTTTCGACTTCCTGACCTGATGGTAAAACCTCACACTTCTGGTGCTGCTCATACCAGTCGTTCACCGTCATAGTCGCCAGACTTGGATACCCAGCTCCAAAGACTTGTGCTTGGGCAACATTCCGAGTGAGGACGAAGGGTTTCACTGGAGGCCTCTCCTGGTGAGTCAAGGGAGAAGCGGAGGCCTCGCTGAAGGTGTCTCTTTGCCTCAGAATCTCTAGCTCCTGGTCGATGCTCTCAACCTCGTCCAAGCTGATGTTAATCCACCTGCGAAGCTGGAGGAGGTAAAACTCCCGCACACGCTCATCATCAGCCTGACCGCTCTCCACCGCCGACTTCAGGGCCGACAGCCTCTGCTCCACCGCCTTATTCTGCTTGTACCTCTGGATTTTGGCCTGCCTCTGGGATGCCATGGCAACGAGGTTGTGTTCCAGGAGGGCAGAAGCGGCGGCGTTGCCTTCCGGTGAGCTGCTCTGGGCCCAGGGCAGCTGAAAATCGGCCACATGGTAGTTGTGGGTCTGGGTTAGGAAGCCAATGAAGTGCTCTCGAGCCTCCTGCAGGTGGTCCAAGCGATGGCTGGTACCCACCAGCTTCAGTGTGAGCGCACCGCGCAGGGCCGGGAGCATCAGGTACTTGAGGTCAGCGGAAGCAATCTCCTCCCAGTCTTCGTTGCGGCTGAACAGATCGAGCTGGGATAACATGTCCGAGGCCTTCTCCAGGAATTCCAAGCCCTTCTTCACCTTATCCTGGATTAGCTTGGAGCCCGAGGGTTGGGTCGAGGCCTCTACCTCCTCCAGAAGTTGCCTGCCCATTTCCAGCAGGTCCGGGAGCCTGGGCTTCTGCAGCTCCCTTATTGGTGTCGCCATCTTGCCGGAGGGAGGAAGCCGGAAGTCTCTGGTTTAGTGAAACAAAGACTCTCTGCAGCTCAGGCTGGCCTGCAACTTTGTGTGCAGCCAGCCCCGGCCGGGAACTGGCAATCCTCCCGCCTCAGCCTCCTGAGAGCTGGGATTACAGGTGCTGCCACCATACCTGGCTTCTTCCCAGAGCCTTATTGTAGCATTTTCCCCTCTAGTTCCCGCGTGGTGCGACACAGCGGCTGTAAGTGATTAGAGGAAATGAGATGCATGACGTCGGCCTGGCAACCGTGGCCGGGCTTCCTGAGAAGGGCTCCGAGTGCTCTCGGTTGATCTAACAGCTGAAATGGCTGCTGAGTCACCGATGCACAGGAGCCCATGTGGCGGATGCGTGGGGATAATGAGTGATTGGTGTCACCCGGCTGTCCCCGGATGGGACAGGGTGGCAAAAGATTTCATGATGCTTCTCAGTTTGGTATCCAGTTGGAAGCATGGATTCTTTATGGAATTTAGCATTTGATATTTTGAACGATCACGGATGGCATCTGAAACCACGAGGTAGGTGTGTAGGTGGGTGCGTGTGTGTGTGTGTGTGTGTGTGGGGGTGTGTGTGTGTGGGTGTGTGTGTATGTGTGTGTGTATGTGTGTGTGAGTGTGTGTGTATGTGTGTGTGTCAGTGTGTGTGTGAGTGAGTGTGAGTGTGTGAGTGTGAGTGTGTGTGTCAGTGTGTGTGTGAGTGTGAGTGAGTGTGTGTGTATGTGTGTGTGTTAGTGTGTGAGTGTGCATGTGTGTGTCAGAGTGTGTGTGTGTGTCAGTGTGTGTGAGTGTGAGTGAGTGTGTGTGTATGTGTGTGTGTTAGTGTGTGAGTGTGCATGTGTGTGTCAGAGTGTGTGTGTGTGTCAGTGTGTGTGAGTGTGTGTGAGTGTGTGTGTGTGTGTGCGCGCACGTGCGTGGGAGGGGGGAATATAGGTCTAATGTTAACATTTGCTAAAAGATACTTGGTTTCCTTTACAGTATGCCAGCACATCTTTTTCTAAATCTGTTGCTATTTGGGTTCTCATGATCATCATAGTTTTGAGTTCCTTTTCTTTTTAAGATTTATTTATTTATTTTTTATTTTGTGTGTATGTGTGATTGTATGTATGTTTGTGCTGCCCAAGGAGGCCAGCAGAGGACGTGGATCCCCTGGAACTCAAGTTATGAACCCAGGTTTTCTGTAAATGCAGGGAGTGCTTTTAACCCTTGGGCCATTTCTCTAGCCCCAGTTTGAACTTCTTGACCAGATGTCTGTTGAGTTTAATAACATATGGGACCTTCAACTTAGCCTGTTATTATGTTTTTCAAGGAAATTAATTTGGAGAACTCTTACATTCTTTTTTGGTACATGTAGGCATAGCTGCAGGTTGCCTCATTTTGAAAGTAACCTTATAACATACAGTACAGATGCTTATGAGGTCTCTGGCTGCAATATCCAAGTTAGTCCTTATTGTGTTATAATCCTGATTAAGCTGAAGATTCAAAATAAGTACAGCATAATGATTGTATGGTTAAATAAGTTTATTTATCTTTAATTCAATAATTTAATATAAGCTCTCAAGTTCTTAATTTTGAGTTTAGAATTTGGAAATGTGAAACTGACGCACAGAGTTATTTTTATTTTATGTGTATGGATTTTATGTGTATGTTTATTGCTGAATGTCTAATTGAATTTAAGTATGACATGTAAATTGACATATTTTACATATTTTAAAATTAATTAAAGCAAAACAAACTAGAAATTAATTATTACTCTACAAAAATAAGTGTGTTTGTCACATAAGGGAAACTTTAACAACTGATCAATTCTGGTAGATAAACAAACTATATTTGAAAACATAGGGAAGACCTTATAATCTTTGAGTTTTTATTCTTCTCTTTACAACTTTAAAAAAAACTAGAATGCTATTTATAGTCTTATTTTTCATATCTTTCCTGTATATTCTCCTCTTCTTTTTCTTTATGTTAAGGAAATTTTCAATTTTAAAGAGATTTATGACTTTTTATGTTTGTGGGTGTTTTGCCAGCAGGTTTGTCTGTGTATTGCTTGCATCAAGTGCTGGAGGAGGCCAGAAAAAGGCGAGCAGACATATGTGTAGTTCCTTCTTCTTCTTCTTCTTCTTCTTCTTCTTCTTCTTCTTCTTCTTCTTCTTCTTCTTCTCCTTCTTCTTCTTCCTCCTCCTCCTCCTCTCCTCCTCCTCCTCCTCCTCCTCCTCCTCTATTTGGCCCCCACCACCCAGCTCCCAAATAAATACACAGAGACATAGTCTGAATACCTGGCCTTAGCTTGGCTTGTTTCTTGTCAGCTTTTATAATTTAAATTATCCCATTTTTCTTTAATGTTTTTCTTCTAGGCTTTTTACCTTTGTTCTGTGTATCTTACTTTTACTCTTACTCCATGCCTGGCTGTGTGGCTGGCTGGCTGGCCCCTGATGTCCTCCTCTCCTTCTCCTTTTCTTGTTCCTTGTTCTTCTTCCAAGCCTAGAATTCTCCCCCTATTTATCCTCTCTGCCTGGCAGCCCCACCTATTTCTCTCTCCTGGATGGCTATTGGCCATTCGGCTCTTTATTAGACCAATCAGGTGTTTTAGACAGGCAAAGTAACACAGCTATATAGAGGTAAACAATTGTAGCATAAAAGAATACAGCACATCTTTGCATCATTAAACAAATACTCCACAGCATAAATAAATGTAACATATCTTAAACTAATATTCCACAACATATCTGGGTGCCAGAAATGAAACCCAGGGCCTCTGGAAGAGCAGCAAGTGCTCTTAAGCATGGAGTGATCTCTCCAACACTGTAAACTTTCATTTCTTTTTCTATTTTTGATGACTTTGTATTGCATCTGTTTATTTAGCATTGTGTGTAACTACACATATTACATAGTACCAGTGAACATCAGAGGACAACTTGTAGGAGTCCTTCTGCCATGTGAGTCTCAGGGATTGAACTCAGACTTTTAGGCTTGGAAGCAAGTACCTTTGCTTTGAACCATCTTGCCACCAGCCTGCTTTCCAAGAGCTCCAATTCATTCTTTGAGTCTCTGATTTTTTCTTTTGTAGTATGTTTGCACTCGAGTGTGAGTGCGCGCGCATGCGCACACACACACACACACACACACACACACACACACACACACACCTCCTTATCTCCATCAGTGCTGTTCTGTGTCACATATAATGGTGGTATTTATACATTTACCGTTTCTTGTAAGTTTTCTTCTGTTTCTTTTATTTTATCCATTTTATTAGTAATAATTTCAGTTTGTAGAATGCTGTTTCTTTTCCTTCTCCTCTTGCTTGTGGTTCCCAAAATTATGTGATGACCCTTATTTCTCTATCTGTGTTAAAATATGATTTTAAAATGCAAACTATAAGGTCAGCATGCATTTTTTAAACAGCTTACCTATTAATGGGTCTCATGGAAGAATAATTGAATAAAAGACCATCTGTTTGGGCTACAACCACAAGTTGTCATAGCTACGTCCATTTCTCTTCAACTGGTCTATTTCCCTAAAGAGAAATCTTGCCAGTCATTTGCCAGTAGGAGCGGAGAAATAGAGGTGAACTACACGAGAGGTCAGCCAACTTTCTGAAAGCTTCAGGTGTGAAAAGTGTTGATTGTCTTTATGTCTTAAGTGATTAGTGTCAAAGATTTTTCATTCCAACATCCCAGAAAGGTCTTCCATTTTCCATCGGCTTGTGAAGTTTGAGAAAGAGCAGATCCATGGTCCAACTGCATATGCACAACTCCAGTAAGGCATCTTGGTCTTCAACATTGTCCAGTTGCTGTACCCTGTAATGTGAATAGCTCTTTTGTCTGTAGTGCTGACAAAACTTGCACAATGAATTTGGATTAAGCTGATGCTGCAGGTCCAAACTGCTGCCAGGTGGGAAAAAAATATGACTGGAATCATACCACAGAGCTCCACACACAACGATAGCTGACAAGATAAAATAGGGCAAGGCAAGGCATAATCCGCGTTCAGCCTTACTCTCTCTTTTCTCCCTTCCTTCCTGCTTTGGCATAGCCAGACCCAGAGTTACCTGGCAAAACAGAAATGTGCCTTTGCAGGTCTCATCACCACATCTCAAGGCTCCAAATCCCATGATGATGTCAGAGCTGAGACCAATGAGACAATAACTTACCAAATGTGTATATCTTACAAATGCTTCATTTGTAATTGAAGAAAATTTGCCTAAAGTGAATTTTCATGTACTTAGCTTAATGAATTTTGACAACTAGCTATGGAATACAGTCATATAAGCCACATTTAAACAAGAATCACTGGGAATGTTATCGAGGTCTGATCTGTATCTAGCCCCACCATCTATCCTGGACTGATGTCTTTGGGGCTGTGATAGGAACCAGCTGAACAGCCCTCCGTCTGATCCTGAGTGTGGACGTGGAGAAGCTAACTACTCAATGGCTTTAAAGAGGAGATAGAGACATCTGGTTATAATGGGAGGGCTCCCTGTCAATACTGAAGGCCACAGTTTATTGAAACATCATCTTAAATAACCATCCAAAAGCAGGGTGGGGGTAATGGCAGAAGACATCTATTATCATGTATAAAGGGCTGAATAGGGAATATTTCCTTTAATCCTACACACACTCCTAAGCAGCAAGTACTCTAGCCACTCCCAGCTTCTATGGGCAAATGTTATTTTGATTTCTGTCATAGGTAAGTTTTGCAAGGTCCTGAGCTTTGTATAAATGGAATTAATGAAATATTCTGTGCTTTCCACTTTTGGTTAGACTTTGTTTTTTTATATGAGAAAACTAGTATAATAGATTTTTTAAATGTTAATATTACTATTGTTCTTATAATATTATGGATTTTATTAACATGTTTATTCATACCTGTTTTATTTCTAGGACAGATTTTAAAAGAGAAATTAACTGCATTTAGATTACTGGAGGATATAACTAAATCTTTAGCTGGGTATAGGAGTGCACTCTTGTATCTCA